GCCTCAGCCTTCTAGTAGCTGGGATTATAGGCACATGCCACCACACCTGGCTAATTTTTGTATTTTTAATAGAGACAGGGTTTCACCATGCTGCCCATACTGGTCTTGAACTCCTGACCTCAAGTGATCTGCCTACATCGGCCTCCCAAAGTGCTGGGATTACAGGCATGAGCCACTGTGCCCAGACTTATTTTTCATTTTGAGACAGGGTCTCACTCTTTTACCCAGGCAGGAGTGCAGTAGCATGATCATGGTTCACTGCAGCCTCAAGCTCCTAGGCTCAAGTGATCTTCCCACCTCTGCTTCCTGAGTAGCTGGGACCATCGGCCTGTGACACAGCTATTTTTAAATTTTATTTGTAGAGATGAGATCTCACTTTGTTGCCTAGGCTGGTCTCAAACTCCTGGGTTCCAGTGATCATCCTGCTAGGCCTCCCAAAGTACTGGGATTACAAGTATGTGCCACTGTGCCCAGCCTAAATTAATTTTTGAGTAGATATGGGGTCTCGCTATGTTGCTCAGGCTGGTCTTGAACTCCTGATCTCATGTGATTGTCCTGCCTCAGCCTCCCAAAGGGATTACCGGCATGGGCCCATGCCTGGCCTTAACTTCTATTCCTTAAAGCAGTCTGGGAATATCTAAAAATATGGTATTCTTATCAAAGCCTTGGTAAATCCAGTGCCTTCAATTGTGTCCTATTACAAAATAAAACAGATTCCTATTGAGTTTATGAAAATAACTGTATGGAAATAAATTAAGGATACTCATGGCCGGGTGTAGTGGCTCACGCCTATAATTCCAGCACTTTGGGAGGCCAAGGAGGGCGGATCACCTGAGGTCAGGAGTTTGAGACTAGCCTGGCCAACATGGCAAAACTAGTTTCTACTAAAAATAAAAAAATTAATCAGGCATGGTGGCATGAGCCTGTAGTCCTAGCTACTCGGAAGGCTGAGGCAGGAGAATCACTTGAACCTGGGAGGTGGAGGTGGCAGTGAGCCGAGGTTATGCCATTGCACTCCAGCCTGGGCGACAGAATAAGACTCCATCTCAAAAAACAAAACAAAACAAAACAAAGTCCCAGCTACTTGGGAGGCTGAGGCTGGAGAATCGCTTGAACCCTGAAGGAGGAGGTTACAGTGAGCCAAGGTGGCACCACTGTACTCCAGCCTGGGCAACAGAGCAAAACTCCATCTCAAAAAAACAAAAAAAAAAAAAAAAAAAAAAAAAAAAAAAAAAAAAAAAAAAAAAAAAAAAAAAAAAAAAAAAAAAAAAAAAAAAAAAAAAAAAGAAGAAGAAGAAATTTGCTTATCTCTGTGGCATATAACAATTTAACATAATAATCACAATTATTACTGATAACACATACTGACATACCAGAATCTTAGTAATCTCTTGGAATTTTGGAACACATATTAATAATACAGTTATACAAGTATAACCTGAAGAAAGAAAGTTTTTTTTTTTTGAGACAGAGTCTCTGTCACCCAGGCTGGAGCAATGGCACAATCTTGGCTCACTGCAACTCTCCTGTCTCAGCCCCCCGAGTAGCTGGGATTACAGGTGCCCACCACCACACCCTGCTAATTTTTATATTTTTAGTAGATATGGGGTTTCACCATGTTGGCCAGGTTTCTTTCAAACTCCTGACCTCAGGTGATCCACCCACAGCCTCCCAAAGTGCTGGGATAACAGGTGTAAGCCACCGTGCCCAGCCAACCTGAAGAAGTTAAACACCATTTCATATTTGACAATGCTTCCTGTGTGATTTTTACATACCAAGTAAGCCTGATATGGACTTCTGGGGCCCTAATATCCAAAAAAATTAGCTGGAGGTCAAAAGTCTGAAAAAAGTTTGTCAAATGGCAAAGGTTTAAGACATTTACTCAAAATAGGATCACAAGTTATTATAAAATAATAGTGATTCATTTAGCCAAGGTGATAATTCAAAGTTTTTTTTTTTTTTTTTGAGACAGAATATCGCTCTGTTGCCCAGGCTAGGCTGCAGTGGCACAATCTTGGCTTACTGCAACCTTCACCTCTTGGGTTCAAGCGATTCTTCCACCTCAGCCTCCAAATAGCTGAGATTACAGGTGCGTACCACCATGACTGGCTAATATTTTTTTGTAGTTTCCTAGAGGCAGGGTTTTGCCTTGTTGGCCAGGCTGGTCTTGAACTCCTGACCTCAGGTGATCTGCCCACCTTGGCCTCCCAAAGTGCTGGGTCAAAGATTTTAAAAAGCAAAAATCTTTACTCTTGGCCATTAGAGGACACACATATGAAAAGAGTTTGAATGCTTGAGTGTTTTCCTGGCCTTCGCATTTGTGACGCTGCACCATCTACAGTCGTTTGCATTATTTCCACCTCAAAGCCAGAACCCCAGCTGCATTTTAAGAACAGACACATCTCTGAGATTTTAAAATGTCCACGTGTAGCATTATATATATCAGTTTTTATCTATGGTCCTAGCTCATAATTCCCATTGCCCTTGTTACAGTCTTCTCTATAATAAAATTGTGGGTGTTTCAGGAAACAAAATATTTCTGACTTTCTCCTGCCCTCCTTTCACCTGCCCCTAGACAGGACTCTCATATTCCCCTACCTTTCTGATTGTGGTTCTTAAGACCCTCATTTCAGAGAGGGTCATGTTCCATACTCTGGAGGAAGGAATACTGCACAGAGAGGCCAAGAAGAATCTGAACAGATAGGCCTTGCTGTGTTTAGATCATATCTTTTTTGTCCAATCACATTTTGACATGCTTCAGTCATAGATAACCAATGAAGTTTACATAAAAGGCCCAAAGGACAAGGTTCAGGGAGCTTCCAGAGAGCTGAACATGTGAGGACTGACAGGAAGGTGCAGAAGTACTTATCCATGTGCCAGGAGGGTGATCAACACCAACTCCATGAGGACAAAAGCTCCTGTGCTCAGGACCCTTACAGACCTCACTCTGTGTATGTCTTTGTTTGGCTGTTTATTTTCATTCTTTAAAATATCCTTCCTAATAAACTGGTAAATGTGTTTCCCTGAGTTCTGTGAACCACTCTAGCAAATTAATCAAACCCAAAATGGAGATTGTGGGAACCCCAACTTGAAGTCAGTTGGTCAGAAGTTTCAGAGAGCTGGACGTAGAACTAGGAGGAAGGAGAGGACGGTTTTGTGGGACTGAGCTCTCAATCTGTGGGATCTAACACTGTCTCTGGGTAGACAGCATTACAGGATACCCAGCTGGTATCTGCTGCTTGGTGTGTGGGGAAACCCTCCATACCTTTGGTCACAGAAGTCTTCTCTGTTGATAATTGCTGTGGTGGTGTGAGAGCAGAGGAAAAACGTGGTTTGACAACATTTTTCCTACACACCACAGCAGGCCACAAAAGTTGGCTCAACTCAAATAAAACTGAACAAAGGATGAGATAAATCCCACATTACATGAATGTGGCCTTCACAAACTTGGCAAAGGAAATTTGTTGACCCCTCCAATACTTTTCACATCAAGTCCATTTGCCTAGGAAGCTCTCCCTAAGAAGAGCTGAGAGAGCTAAGCTAAGCTTGTCCTCCTCTAAGATGCAGCTCAGATCCACTTCTCCCAAGGTAAAGCCAGATAGGTCTTCCTTTCTGCTCCTGTAATGCCCTCTATATTTCTCACATATTTTTTGCACTTGTCATCTGTTTAATAACTACCTGATTACTTATTGTTCTCTCCCACCTTTAAGGGTAAAGATTTACTTTTACTCATTTAATTATCTCCCATACTGGGCAAAACAACCAATAGATACAAAAATGCTTGTTAATTAATTTATAGTCAGTATGTAAACACATGATAAAAATCTTCAGTTAAGCAAATTCAAATGAATGATATAACATTTAAAAGTTATTTTTAAAGTTTGAAAATCAAAGTAATATACTGACATGGTTTAAAAAGTCAGATGATACCGTAAGGCTTATGAGTAAAAAATGTGATTCCTTATCCTTGCTCATCTTTTTTTTTTTTTTT